AATAACTATCAAAATAAATAAGTGTTACGTTGTTTGAAAATAATAAAAATATTATATATATTTTATTATAACTGTATCTTAGCCGTACCCGTATCTAATTTTTTTTAACTTTGTTGTATTACTGTATCCGTATCATATCGTACTCATATTCCATATCCGTATCCGTACTTTATAGTCTAATACACTATCTGGCCCGATTTAGTGACCAATTCACCAATTTTTTGGGTCAACTAGTTTGAGTGGGCCGAATTTCAAATCACTTCTCAAAGTCAGAAACAATAGGGCAAAATGATATCTTTGTACTCCTAAATGTCAATTCAGCCTTGATCTTGGTGATTAATAGTTTTAAATCGTATAATTAGTTTGAAACTTTCTTTTTTTTTTTTTGGCAAAATCTACAATAATAGCCTAATTACGTAATTAACAATAATTAGACCACATTTTGTTATTTTCTAATTGATTTTAGAGTTTCTTGCACTATTTATACTCTTGGAAGCCTTAAAGTTCCATAGCTTTTGATTATGGGCTTTCCGCATTTTATCGCCCGAAAAATTTTAAGATTTTCACTTTATACCGTTAAACATTTTCAAGATTCTCACTTTATACGATGAAAAATTAAATTTTTTACATTACACCCTTAATGTATATAAGTATTGTAATGTAGCCTTTTTGTTGACTTTTCTTATTTTTTCGTCAAAAGTGAACTCATTGACATTGACAAAAAAAGTTAATAGAAAGGTCATATTGTAAAATTTTTGATATATTAAAGGTGTAAAGTGAAAATCTTAAAATCTTTCATAGTATAAAGTGTAATTTTTCTTTTGATTATTGAATACAATTGAGAAAGTTTTCTTTTTTCCTTCCAATTTTTGTAGTATTCTTCAAAATCAACAGATTTATTGAAGCATTTAGAACTAGTATTCTTTGTGAATCAACATACCTAGACTAGAATCCTAAATCAATATGTGTGTCTAAATCAACAATTTAGTTTATTATCCTTATTGTTTACTAGATTTGTGTTTTTACACTTTTTCCTGCATCAATACTTGACCAAATTTCAAGAAACTTGATATGAATTTTGAGCGGCTAAGTTGGTCATGAATCATGTCGGCCTCAGGCATCTGCCATTAAGGTCGTTACCTAGTTCCCTCAAATGAATGGACAAATTTAGGAGTCCTAAAAATAATTTTTAAAACAGCCTACAAATTTTTGGGGGTCGCAATTTTAACTAGATCAGACAATGTAAAATATGATTTACAAATCCAAGAAGAAATGTACATAGAATTAAGGGGTTTGGGTGTAACCTTAGGGCATGTGGTTGACAAATAGGTGTTTTACTTAGACCTTTCAAATAAAAAAGTGGACTCGAACGACCCTAAACACAATACAAACTCGCTAATCATGACCTACATAAGGTACAAGTGCGTAAAATTATAAATGAGAATTGACTTTCTTTATATTACTTTTATATTTTTTTGAGTTTGGCCTATTTTTATGCAGTGTTTCCTCTTACAATACTTTTAATGTATCACAATTAAAATCAATTGGGTGGCTACTTATCTCTCACCTAATATTCGTAAATGCAAAAAAAACTTGACGACCTCCTCCCACTTTGAACTTTTGTGTTAAACCTCCCTCAATTTTTAATCAAAGTGCAAAACTAAACTTTCGTCTCAAAAGCTATAAAAATACCAAAATACCCTCATTATTCCATCCAATTTTACTTGCAGTATCCTCCCTTTAGCTCAGACTCTCTCCCACTCTCTCCCTCTCCCTTTTCCTCTTTCATTTGTCATCATAATCATCCTCCTCTTTATTGTCACACCCCTACCCCAGATCACATAGGGTGGGCGACGAAATCACCTAACTCAAAACCATCCGTAGGAATTACCACGGTCAAAATTAAACTCAAGTGTTTTGGGTTTCACACTCAATCACACTGCTACTCTAGGAGACACGGAAGAATATATAAACCCTAAAATTTTATTAGTGTCAGTCACATTTCTTATAATACCCTTACCATCCCTTGTTGCAACTATCTCTTGTTTGTATAAAATACCAAACAAATTAACTAGTTTTAGTCACTACGCAAATCATTTTATCAACTATTAACATCATTTTGTATCTCTCGAACTAAAACCTATTAAAACCTACACAACCATTCAAATCTAACCTAATCCTTTGGTAATTCATAAACCTATGCTCTGATACCAAACTTGTCACACCCCCGCCCCGGATCACATAGGGTGGGCGATGGACCGGCCACCAAAGTCTTAACCAACCAACTTTGTGTATAATAAATGCAAAATACAGTGAAAGACAAATAATAACGTGATTCATTCCACCGACCTAATGAATACCAGAGGAATAAACTAAATATCACCAACGTCATTACTAAATCCATTGAAGATAATAATTAAACTATAAGATTCACTACTCTAAACATCAGTAATATTATTCCCAAAACAATTAAACATTTGTTTCGAAACTACAAAAGACATTTATTCCTGAAAACCTATAATAAAATAAATCTTCAATTCTTCTAATCCCTTGTCTATCCGAGGACTTACTCCTCCCATTGATCCTCACCTGAAAAATGTTAAAATATTTGGATGAGTACAAAGACCCGTGAATAGCAACCACCTCTAATGAAGTGTGAAAATAAATCCCGTAGTTTGTATACAAAAATAAATTTTGATGCATATATAAGTACAACAAATTGTACCCCAATCCCTCCTATGTAATCATGTAAACAAATGATCTCATGATCACAAATAATTTTATAAATGAAAAGACATTTATAACTCAAACACTCACTCATTTTCACACATAACTTTATAAATGAAAAGACATTTATAACTTAAAACACTCACACAGACATTCAGTCTCAAATATATTTGTCAAATCATGTTTGTTATCATTATTCTGATAAATGGCCTAGTCACTTTGTTACCACTAGCCTGATAACTGTCTCCGTCTCTTATCACCACTAGCTTGGTAATTGACCTAGTCTTTTGTCATCACCAGCCTGATGACTGACCCAATCGCTTGTTACCACTTAGACCTGGTAACCTCAGTTCCCGTCTCATAAACATGATTTTCACATATACCAAAACTGTAGTTTTAGTCTTAACGCAAACATCAAATTTCTCTTTCATCACCAAAGCAATAGCATAAAATCATCCCACAAGTTTTTCAAAATTCACATGTAGAACAGTTAACAATTTCAAAACATTTAATTGCAACTCTAAACATCAACACATATATCACATACATGAAAAATCTACACTCACGCACCCACACATTTAATATAGAAAATCCTCTCAAAAGAAGTAATAAACTACTCACCTTGATTCCCAAAATTAGATTCAAAGTACTATTTTCCAACTTCAATGCAATCACCACCTAATCCAAAATAACATATATCAATCAATTTCAATTCTTAACTTCGTTGTTTCACAATTATATATTTAATTTTTATACTTCTTACATATAAATATTCTTTCTAATACAAGGTAATAGGGTATGAAAGTATTCTGGGCTGTTTAGAAAAAAAATTTCTAAAATTTTGAGGTCAAGTCATAATTTTTGAAACTTTTAAGGTCAAAATATAATTTTCTTAAAAACGAATTTTCGCTTTTTGGGACTGCCATAAATCTTCCAAAATTCTATTCTTTCAACTTACCAAATAAAATAATGATTAAAAATAAAATTTAGAAGAATATAGAGGTCAAATTAAAGCTATTTACAACTAAAAAGGAAGTTTCCATAATTTCCCGAATCTCATCACCTTCGACCTACGAAAGTTGGTTCTGCAACTTTCTTAGTTCTGCAACTTCCTTTGTTTTTCTTCTTTTTATGATTAAATTATTTACAAGTCACAACATCAACCAATCTGAATTAAGTCTAAAACACCTAAATTAGCAACTTTCAATAAAATTCATTTATATATATATATATATATATATATATATATATATATATATTATTTATTTATCACTATTATCACTATTTATAATAAACCTAATACCATATAGTTGAATAGAATATAAAACTCATAAATTAAGTAATAAATTCATACATTGGATGAGTTCAAGTCCCTTTTTTTCTATCTTTTTCCTCCTCCTTTTCTCTCTCAGTATCTCTGTTTCTATGTCCCTTTCTTTTCTAAGCTTTCACGGTTTTTCTTTCTTTTTTCTTATTTTTTTTCTATCTTGCCCTATTTTGACTGCTTACATATATATGTATACAAAGAAAAAGAAACCCTACAATTCCTCAAATTCATTAAATACATTGACATCCCTTTCTAAAAAATATCACAAATTAACCTAAAATCTAATATTATATATATTTTAAATTTGAATATTATTACATTTATCCTCTCCTTTCTCTATATTTGTATGTAAATGAAGGAGGAAAATTAGAGATCTCAATTAGAAAGCTCAAGTCAACACGGTTTCTATTTTTTCAACATGGGACCTCTCTTTTGGAAAACAAAATACACAGATTGACCAAAGAATTGATTACAAATGCTGAGAAATATTGACAAGTTTGGGAAAATTTGGGGAAAAGCTATTGCATATTCATTACCAAAAATGATTTGAAAATAACCAAAAAAAAAAAAGCACTGATTGCGTGGAGGATGGAGGTGAGGGAAGAGAGAGGGCCTAAGTTGTGTGGCCGAAAATTCTTTCCTCTATCTCCCTCTTAGCTCTCTTAGACAGTGTCTTATTTAGGAGTTTTTAGCATTGATTTGATCTTTGCCCCCTTCACTTCGTTAGCAGATTGTTCATATGTCAATTTCTGGATTTTGGGCACCTACTTTCACAATTTTTAGAAGAAAATGAGGAGATTTGTGATAGAATTGAGGAGGGTTTGGTGGTGGTGGGTGTCCACTAAAAAATGTTGTCTCTTCCCTTTAGTTCAATATGGTAATATTAATAATTGATCCGGAGAGTACCGAGACACATAAATGATGACATTATAGAATAATATCAGACGATGCATACAAAATAATGGATAAAAAAGCGTTTGAACACTATAAAAAATTCAAGTCATATCACAACGTAGCATAACTCTAAGGGTTGATACACTTCGAGTTTATGACAATGACTCGATCTAACCGAATTGATTGAGACGTTTCGGAGTTTACCACGAGTCAAATGAGACAAGTGATTTACATAAAACATAAAATGGTATTGGACTGAAAGTTCCACAAATTGGATATGACTCAGCCGAACATATCAGACTCGAATAGATGATGAACTTTCAAAGACTGAAATAGCAAACTATTACTTATTTAACAGTGCTGATTAGTCCGTTCTGCTAACGAGCCTCCAAAAATGTATCAGTCATCTCATTGGCTGAACAAGATTCATTGTTGCTTGATGAGGGATGAGCTTCATTATGTACTTCTATCAAGAAACCTGGTTGCTTCGGCTGAGGCAATACGCTCTCGCTGCTCAACATTAGAACCACTGATGACATGTTTGGTCGATACTCTGGAAGATGTTGCACACACAAGAGACCCACATGGATGCATCTGAATATTTCAGGTAAAATGCACGAGTCCTCAACTAATGTATCTATCAGTTCGAGTGCCCTCTCTTCAGTCCACAATCTCCATGCCTAAAACAAATTAAGCTCATTTTTGGTTCAATATCGTACATTTTGAACACATGAAAATACCATAATCACAACACTTACAAGTTCAATAAGATTGTGGCGG